GGAGCACCAGATATTTATAACTCCAAATAATTGCAGCTGAAACGAGCTCCAACATATCCAGCAAATAGTTAGCGACCACCTGCCCTGATCAGCATTTTTGCTGGTACACCTGGGCCACCCCACGTCCCTGCCGCCCATCCCCTGTAGCAGAGGGACGCAGGTCCCTGGCACAGGCTGGGGGCAACACCAGGGACCTGCCCGCTGCTCTCAGCAGCCCAAAGCACCGCGGGGTTTGGCTGTCGGGGGCTGCGATGCTCTTTTTCTTGCTGCCCAGGCTCCAGCGAGCTCCCAGGCTCCCTCAGCTCCAGCAGGCTCCCTGAGGGCGATACGATTGGTGGCAAAATACAAACCCACGCATGAGTGCAATGCACATTTTAAAAAAAAAAAAAAAGGAACCCCCCCCCCCCCCCCCACCCCAAAAAAAATCCCAACCAGCTGCACAGGGGGCAGTGGCAGGCTGGGCAGCGATGGCTCCTTGCGCCCATCCCCTGTTGCTCAGCGCTGCGCAGCCCCAAGGACACACACATCCACCCGGGGCCCTTTTTTCATGACCAAACCACCACGCATCATGCATCCTAAAAGCCTTTTCCAGTGCCTGAGCCAGACCTGGGCTTTATGTGCAGCTCATCAGGCTCTTTCACAGGCCCAAACCCTGCTCCGCCGGCTCCATCAGCCGGTCCATGAGCAATTTTTGGGCTGGGCGCCCCCCCCGCCCGGCCTCCAGCACCGCGGGGCAGTGGCCGCTGTCCCAGCTGTTCGATTTATAACTTGGTGTAGGTAATATTTTGCAATGGCCTGGAACTCAGAACAACATTACCTGGTTCCCTGCAGAGGAAAACAGCCCAGCCAATTCAGCACAGCCAAGCCCCAACCAAAGCCTCAGCTGTTGCCCCAAAGCACCCCTTGCACTGACTCAGCCCATGCATCAGCTTTGTTGCTTTTAATTTAAAATAAGAGGCTTATCCACAAGAAAAAAAAAAAAAAAAAAAAGGCAGGTTGGGCCACAGGTTGTCCCCACCCCAAATAAATGATGATATGTTGGCATTGCCCCGACGTGACAAGCTAATGGGGATGGGCAGGGACAGCCACACACTTTCACATCCCCTGTGTAGTGTTGCTAGTCCGGACAGGCAAAGAAATGCCCTGAAATACCATGTGCCCACCCTCCCCAGCCTCACAGGAGCATTGCTACCCGAAGGTGGCGATGAGATGGCCACTGGGAGGTGGGGGGCACACAGGGACCCCGACTGTCCCCCCGGCCCCTGCAGATGGCTCCGGAGTCCCACTGGCCAGACCCCAGCGTTTCGGGACCCTCTTCCTCCACCTCCCTCACTCCGTCTCCTTGGACTGCTTGGCTCGTTGCTTGCGGAGCTTAACGAAGGCCTGAGCCTCTTTGTCCCCCTTCCTGGACTCCAGCAGCCGGAGGATCTCATCGCCTGCCAGAGAGGAGGGGAAGGACGGTAGGAGACGCTGGCTACAGCCCCCTCCTGAGGCCGCAGGGCCAGTGGGGGCTCAACGGGGCTCAGCCCAGCTGCAGCACCACGTACCGGTGGGTTTGGGGTGGGTGAGGGGGAGGCGGGTCTGGGGCACCCGTCCTGCATCAGCCTGGTCCTCATCAGTGTCGAGGCCAGGCAGGTGGCGGAGGGGGAAGAAGGCTTCGCCCTCCAGGTCGTTGCTCCCCAGCGTGTCGTAGTCGAACACGGTCAGCAGCAGGCAGGCCCCCTCCTGCCGGCACTTCTCGGGGGGGACCAAGCTGCAGGGGGATGGGATGTGGGGGACTGGCACATCCCAGCCCCTCCATCCTGAAATTCAACCTTCCCTCCAGAGACCAAAGAGGCATTCCCAGGGTGATGCTCCGTGTGAAGCCAACCCCCCCACCACCCACCACCACAATGACTCCAAAGCACCGGGGCCCAGCACAGCCCTGCACCAGCCCGCTGGCCCTGGGGGTTTGGGGTGCCCCTACCCCAGCTCCCACTGTGGGACCCCACAGCTGAGCCCCTAGTGGGGTGCAAGGGGTGAAATCCCAGGGCAGGGCCCAGTTCCCGGAGCAGCAGCCCCAGAGCAGGGGCTCAGCTGCAGCGTGAGGGGGCTTGGGGGGGGGTCCTGGTGGGTGTCAGCCCCTACGTACAAGTCGAAGGCTTCGTCAAAGAGGGGGTGCAGCTCGTTCCTCTTGCACTGGGTGGTCCGGGCCACCACCTCAGGAAATTCATGCCGGGGCTCCAGGGTGAGCTGGACGAAGGGGTCGCTCGAGCCTGGTGGGGTGCAGACATCAGCCCCCTCCCACCACCCCTTCTGCCCCAGCACGGCCGGCCAAGCCCAGCCGGGGTGCCTGGACACACTGGGGTGGCTTGAGGGGGGGAGGGGGTGTGTCAAGGCACCCTCACCGCACCCCCCAGCCCAGCCAACGCTCCCGGGAGGGTGCGGGAACATCCCCAACCCTGCCCACACGTGGATCAGCCATGGGTGGCTGCAATAGCAGTGACCTCTCCTGGAGACGTCCCCAAATGACAGCCAACCCGTGAGACTGTCCCTTGTCACCCCGGCATATTTTTCTGTCTGAGATGTGATTTGCACAGTGGAAAAAAGCCGCCTGCATGCTGCAAAGTGCCGGCAGCGGGATGGGGCACAGTGTCCTGCCTGGTCCTGCCCGCCACATCCCACCGGACCACCCCAGACCACTGCAATAACCCCTCTTCTTCCCCAAATCTACCTCCTTGGATGCGAAAGCAAATCAAGACAGAGTTCCATTGCTCCAAGCACTAAGAGCATCTCTCCTACCCAGGAGTGCATGGGGGACCGAGGACAGGGGGTCCCGGGGCAGCGGGGCTCCTCAGTCCACCCACACCCACCGTTGGAATCCAGTGGGATGAGGTTGACGGCGTTGAGCACTTCCACACGGAGTTTCTGCTCTGAAGGGCGATACAGCGCTTTGATCGTCACAGCCCCATACTTCTCCGAGCTGGTGTCCAGCTGAGTGGTGGAGTACAAGAATAAGGGTGCTGCCTTTCAGCACACTCGTGGAGGGGATGCCTGGGACCTGGCGGAGGCTGAGCAGGCATTTTGGGCTGCCAGGGAGATATGAGCATCTTCTGGGATGCAACTGAACCCCCTCCTGCCCACCACTGGGGCAAAACCAGCCACAACAGCCCCAGGACCAGGAGGGTGGTGGGGAAATCCCCCATTTCCACAGGCAGGCTGTGCCAGGCAGCCTCACATGTGCAAGGGCAGGGGGTGGGAAGGAGCTGGGGGCACCATCCTGACTCCCACCTGCTGTTGGATCCTGTTGCTGAAGTATTTCTGGATGAGTTTGCGGCTGGTGGCAGAGCAGAGGGCCAGGTGGGTCTCCAGCGACTGCAGGGAGGACGAGAAGTGATGGTGAAGCACATGGATGGGTCTGCAGCCTGGGGAGACCCTCCCTGGAGAGCACCCAAAGGAAACCCTGGGTCCCCCACGTCCCCAGCACCCCATACCAGGAAGGTTGCGGTGTGGAGGGTCTCCAGCGGCAGCCCACAGCCCTCGGCATGGAAGCACAGCTCCAGGCTCTGGGGAGAAGGATGAGGTCAGCCAGCAACCAAACACCCATCCCTGCCAGGGACTCCCCAGTCCCCCACCTTGGTACCTTCAGGGCACAGTGCAGCTTCTTGTAGCACTGGGTTGAGGGGACATGCTGCTCCGCGGCTGCCGACAGCACGGCCAAGGTGTGATGCCAGAGGAGAGTGAGAAGGCTGCAGGGGCGAGGGAGGAAGGCTGTGAGTAGGAGGCTGGGGGGGTGGGTTGGGGGATTTGGTCTTTGGCCAAGGGGCTTTGCAAAGCCTCAGTGGGAACTGGCTCATCCTGCTGGGCTGAGGAGCCAGCCCCAAAGTGGGATGTCCCCAAGCCCCATGGGGCTGGGGGGGGACACTCCTGCCGAGGGACGGTGATGCTGGACTCTGCCACGGTGCATCCCCAGTGCCCTGGTCACCTTTTGAAGTTCTCCTGGACCAGATGCTCATTGAGATACTGCAGCTCCGACTCCAGGAACTTCATGAGCGGGATGATGGACTGCAGCGAGAGGAAAGGGGCATTGGAGGGCGGG